GCTCCCACTCCTGTCCGTAAGTCTGCACCCTGAAGACCATGACTCAAGTCTACTGACTCACATCCCCAAGCAGATTCCCTTCAAATCTATCTCTACCTCTGTTGTTCCTTCCTCTCCATTTCGTACTGATATAATGTATGTGTACCTTTGTCTGTTTGTTAACCAACACACCACAGGATTTGTTCCTGCCTTCAAAAATGCAGCCTTTGTTGAGCTGCTGCTCGACTTAGGACACTTGTTGGCAGAGAACAGACCCCTGCTGGCAGCCGAAAGCCCCCCTGCTTAGCCGAGACTTAAACACACCGACACCGATCTTAACATTTTATACACAGTAACGAATCCAGAGCCTGAAACTCCTCCAGACGTCTTGTTAAGGTTGAGGGGCGCTCACAGATGTCACAGTGAGACCACCCCCCCCACACACACACACACACACACACACACACACACACACACACACACACACACACACACACACACACACACACACACACACACACACACACACACACACACACACACACACACACACACACCACACACACACACACACACACACCGACAGCCACACAAACACACTCTTGACAGGCGAAACAACAGGACTTGGTGGCAGAAGGAGCAGCTGCTCGCTAAGGTCAGATTACGGATAAAGAAAACATTTTCAGGCCAGGAGAGCTGCTCTCTGACTAGAACCGGAGACGCTGCATTATTCCTCCTGACACACACAAACGCGCAGATGCATTCACAGCAAATGCACATGTTTTGCTGCTTTTATAAATGAAAAGGTGATGAGCTGGCTTAAGTGTCAGCATGTCTGTTCAAAGATTGCTGCCACTGCCTTCTTCAGACTCATAAAACCACAAGGACCATCTCCAACAAAAAAAAAAGTCAGTCACTACCCTCCCTTCTCTCCCTTCTCTGTCTGTGTTTGGCCCTAATAATTTCTCCCCAGCTCCTCCAATAACTTCCTCCTACTTCCTATCTGGCACAGCGCTCAGGAAACAATCAGAGCTGAGAGTGAGAGGAGGGCTGGACGGCCAACGGCTCACACGGCAGAAAGAGAGGCAGAGGGAAAAGGTTGAGACGCACACACACACACACACACACACACACACACACACACACACACACACACACACACACACACACACACACACACACACACACACACACACACACACACACACGTGAATGCACACCAAATGCCCCCCTTGTCAAGTCAAACATTTGTGGTTTGATACCAGCTGCATGCCCAAGAAAAACAATAATGCTCAGAGTAACATCGTGCACGCTAGAAACGGGAATGTGTGAAAGCGATCTTAGTTGGAAAATCTTTTTCAAACAGTTACATCATGAAACTCGCCACAACTGATTCTTATTTGTTGTTTTCTTGTAAACAAATCTCACCGCGTGGAAACAGACTAACTCACTCTGAGGTAAGAAGAGTTTACTGGATTCCTAAATGAGTCACTGAAAGATAAATGGGTGTGAATGGAGCCAGAGCTCGAACATAAGGTAGATGTAATAATGTGTTGTTCTTTTTTTATAGCTGCTGGCTATGTGGTATAGCTTGAATTGTCACACTTTAAGAGAATTAAGCCTAAAATCCATCTGAAGAGGGAAAGACTGACACAAAACGGCGCGGGTGAGCCAGAGTGTTTTCTCTTTTTTGTACAGCCTGAATCAGCATTTTAATCGGAAATTTTCCAGCAAAAGCAGCAGACAAGCCGTTCTAGCCTGAATTGGTCATTTTGTGGTGAGGGGAGCGGTTTGAAGCCATAATCTGTGAAACCTTTAAGACATGCATAACTTTGCAGCAGAATGCACGACCCAATAACTCATCTAACCATATCAATAGTGGAACAAGGCATTAAGAGCAGTCATGGCTTTGATCAGGGCCTTATAGAGAGGATTTTCACAAGGAAAAGCTGAGATTTAACATAAAAACAGAACCAGAGAGGAAACTCATAGGACTGTTGCACATTTTATGTAAGTATATACACTCATAAAGGCCTCAGAATCATTTAGACACCTGTGTTGTTTTATATTAGGAGCAATAAGAACCAATAACTCTCTGCTGCAGAAGGGGATCATCCCCCTTCCCAAAACACTCTATGCAAAGGGATTAAAGGGGTTTCACATGAGTGCCCTTGGGTCACTGGAGCTCCAGTGCGACACACAGGCCTCACACGCACACGCACACACACACACACACACACACACACACACACACACACACACACACACACACACACACACACACACACACACACACACACACACACACACACACACACACACACACACACACACACACACACACACACACACACACGTCTCTGCAACACCACACGGGCTCAGTGAGCCTCATGTTATCTATAATGGAGGCCCGGGGAGCCACAGACACTGGCACACATACCCACAGACATCTATTTTCTGAGCTCTTCGCCTGTAGAGAACATTTATTTGGAACATCACTCTGTCGCCAGAGAAAGAACAACTAAAACGTTTAGCAACTTGGGGACAACCGACACAAAGGCTATACTGTTCTAGGCCACTCCCCGGCTCCTCCCCTCAGTGGTCCGAATAGGAGGCCGGAAAGCTTATCTGTTAAAACCTCATGGTTTGGAGGATATGTAAACATGTGCAGTGCATTAACGTGAATACAATGTTGATAAATGATGTTACTGGAGACTTGGAAAACTGAAGTATATGTTTAAAGATTTGATCAATGCTAGAGACTGCTCAGCTTTTGTTATATCACTGTAATAAATAGCTCAAATTCATCAACACAACTGCACTCTTTAACCCGATGCTGCCAGTTAGACTGCATATTGTACTCCAGATTGTCATTAATGCCCTTCTGCTGGGGCCTGCAGGCTTCTCTCTAAGGCCCTCTGTGTGCTCACCACGCAGACATAAGTGCTATTTGTTCAGATCTGGGTTGACAGAGGGGCAAGTGTCCACCATTTGGACGAGCACTTCTGGGGATGGTGCTAAAAAGAAACCAACGTCTGCACAAATGGGCAAAAGCTCATTAGGCGCTCTGCTGTGGGTTTAACACAAACGGGTGAAGCTGCTGCTGACAAACGGTCAACAGACCTGCGTAAACACTCTGCAGAGCAAAGAGAGGATGCACTAAAGCGCTGGAATACACATGTGAAATACCTTCAGGATCTCTTCAGTTTTGGATTTTATAAAAAAGAGAGATTTTTTAAACCCTCATGAAGAAAACACTCATTACCTCTTCCTTCCCGATAAGCGGCCTCAAGGAATACAGCTGGCAAGTAAAAAGAGACGAAAGTGCCACTTTAAGAGGATATTACCCCAAGTAATCTAATTGACCTCCGTGACATGGGTGAAGCTGTAAAACGTTCCCTCTGCATTTAACTCTCACACAGCTTACAAAATGCATAACGGCTGAGAAACATAAAGTGCGTTCAAGGAGAGGAAGAAAGAGACCACATTGTACATTGGGAGGCCTGATGCATTCATGCTGCATGAAAACAATGAAGGGGAATCTGTCGGAGCAGCAGAATGCCTAATCCTTTCCAGATTTACCCATCAGCATCAAAATCTATTAATAGGCATCTTGGCGTGTCTCATTTACCAAGGACACATTGTTTGGTCGTACTGGTAGGTCGCTGCGTTTCAGAATATCGTTTCCACATGTTAATAGAAATTAGTTCTAAAACTGCAGCCTCTCAACCGTTACCTAAAATGAACAACAAGAAAGTTTTCCTACGATATTCAATCATTGTCTTTATCAGTGTTGATGTAAACAATTGTAGCTCTAACACACGGCCTCACATGAATCCTGCCGCATTTACACTCACAGCCTTATGGAATTAAGACAGATCTGTGAAAATTGTTCCCAGGTTACACAACATTGTTTTCCCCACAACCTTGGTGAAAAAACAAAAGAAAGTAAATTAATTAAATGGAAATATAATGTGTAATGCCTTTTGCTGCTGCAGTAATAAAAGGAGACCGATAAGGAGCCAACAGAAACGTTAACAGGTTATTCTGCTTGTTGAGACCATCCTGACAGACTGCATTCTGGTGTTCAGTCAAACCTGTTGACTGCCACTGATTTAACTATGCAGCTCCTCTGACTGTACCAATCCTAACATGTCGTTTTTCTTTACATTTTCCAATCAGCCGAGACATTTAGCAGTCAAACAAAGTGTACCCGAGCCTGAACAAACAACACAGACTGAGAGCAGGTGTAGCCCGAGGTGCCTCTTCTATAATTATAAAATTAGCTTGCAAACATATCCATGCATCTCAAATCCTCACCTATGAATTATGTACTTAGTAAGACTTTGCACAGTTTCATCACATTGCCCTGTTCATTGGCACGAAAGAAAGAAGTAAAACATATAGATAGATAGATAGATAGATAGATAGATAGATAGATAGATAGATAGATAGATAGATAGATAGATAGATAGATAGATAGATAGATAGATAGATAGATAGATAGATAGATAGGTTTGGTATTTCCTAAATATTCCATAATAGCAATGACGTTACACAAATCCTTTTCGGTATGCAGGAGTGTGTAGCTCCAGGTCTGCATACACATGGCTTTTACTTTATTCATAATGTATCATAAATGATTTGTCATTTGTTTGTCAACCTGATAGTATTATATTGTAATAACTTCATGCAATGCATATTGTGTTCAAAAATAAAGTGTATGTAAATGCATGAAACAAGTTTTCTAATTTAAAACTGAATGCAAACAAATACAACAGATACAAAATATAGGACATAACTGTAATGAGTGTCTTTATAAATGATCAACATGTAGTCAAAATGTAAATGTAAATCTCATCACTGCCAGAGTGACTGCTCAATTTGGTTCAAACAGATTAATAAGAAATCTGTTTAAAATTATTTTTGAAATGTTGTGTTTGTCTAATATATGTGTGAGAACAGTTGTATTAACAGACAGCTTCCCTCCACTAAACTAAGATGACAGAACAACAAGTTACCTTTAGGATGCAGAGGTCCAAAGCACACTGAAGTTGTGTATTCCTCCAAATCGTTCTTGTTTGAGTCTCTCTCTGAGCCTGTAGGTAAAACTGTTGGATTCCTCTGGAGGAACAAGGCTGGAGGCTTTGGATGATCCAGGTATGAACTGTGCGAGAAAGAAAACAAACATATTCCCTGCTGTCAAAAGAGACGCTTTGTGTTTCTTTTTAGTAATAGTGTGTGTCAATGAGCGGGGCTACCGGTGGAAATCTGATTTCACAGAGCCTGTCAAAGATATCACTGCACACTGGGAAAGTCAAACACAATAGAGTATGAATCTGCAAATGTTTTCTTCCCTCCCAACGCAGGGAGCTCCGCGGAAAAATGTAAAAAATGACAATGATCTGAAAACTTCACCGAGACAAGCGGCGTGAAAAAACTCACCCAGAAAAAAGCCTCTAAAGTGAAAGAGGGAACATTTGTGCAAAACTTACCTTTTTTATTCTGCCAGGCTACTAGTTCTTCTCAATGAGAGCAGCTGGTCACTTTAGATAGTTTGTTATATTTTGGCGCCTTGTTGTTTTCCGTAATATTTCTCAGAGGTTTGACAGTATAAGTGGAATGTTAAGTATGACTTTGGTATGAAATCAACGCACTACACTGGAAAACGAAGGGGGAGGGAAAGACAGACTTGCAAGGAGGAGCCACCGGTGCGCGTCAATCAACAGGCCGGGGGGGCGGGCACTTCACTGCAGGCCCCGCCCCCACAACCCTGCAGAGCGGCAGCTTCCTGCCCTCAAAACAAACTGGCCTCATGTATGGTGGCTAATATACCGTATATATCACTGCTGGGTTTAGGGATAACTAAATGCATCAGTTAACATTTGCAGTGTTGCAAAAAATCATGAATTTTATATTTTACAGTGTTGGAAGTGAATACACTGTTACAAGTTAAAGTCAAGCACTAAAATGTTTTAATTACATTAAATTAGTCACACAAAATATACATTTAACAAGTAATACAATTATCGATAACGCAGAATGACGCTGAATAATACATATTTTATCACCAGATTATATTATATTTATCCGACTTTTATATTGTGTTAGCTGTAATTTAGCCCTTCCATAGCGTTGTATTTGTCAGATAGTTTACAGATATCTTCACTGTCAACTTTTACATTTGAGCTCTTTTAGTTCCGTTTTATCTTTTATTTTGATATGTTTATATTTTATAATTGTTTATTTTCTACTCTTTTTGTATTTGTAATTATGTGCAATACCTACTTTGTTTTACATGCTGCAACGAAAAAAAATCCCAATTTGGGATCAATCAAGTATATCTTATCTTATTATGTTATTTTATTATATAAATATATACTTATGATGCATCATGTGTACTTTAATGTGAAAGGTAATGGTAAAGATTGAGCTTATATATACATAAACAGACTGCTGTTAGTGACGCGTCCTAAAACCCGGAAGTAAGCATGGGTTCATTCGACAAAAAAGCAATGCAATTTCTCCATAGGATTTTGGAAAATAGCTCGAAATAAGGTCTGTGGTTGACACATATTTAAGAGACGGATCACGTTTTCTTCAGTCGGATAATATCCACATGTCTACGCTACTTTTATAATTTTCGAATCATAAATCTAATCGATAGATTTATGATCGATAGGTACAGTAATGCTCAAAACAAATGCTAAAGGTTTACCTGGAGTGTGTAAATTAGTTTAAAAGACATTTAATAAATAAGAGTTAGTGCTTTGCTGTGCTGATGCGATGGAGTATTCAGACTCAGCAGCATTTCTAAGATTGCTTCAATATTTTAATAATAAATAACAATGAAAGAGATGATTCATCACAAAGATGACTCACTTTGCTGCGTACACTGTAATGACAAGTATTTTATTCACTGCCTGACTTCTATGACTGATAGTGTTTTTTGTTTAGAGCCCTGGTGTGTTCCCATACATATATTTTCAATCACTGTGTCCATACGACTCAATACTGAGTGCATTGTAGGTTAATTAAATTGTATCTACATTTTAAATAAATTGTGTTTTTTTATATAATTACACACTTAAGCATGGTTTTGCTTTTTGAAACAGCAAATCAAATCTGAAGTTGGATTAATATTAAGAAGTTTAAAAATACTTTAAAAATAAATCATCAGCTAATCAGATATTGTCAAACTGCTCTCCTTAAGTACCACACTTTAAATACAAATAGATAACTGTTAACACTGAATGATCTAAATGGAAAACATGTGCTTTTGTTTTATCTCAGGGCTAATTCAAAGGGAACATATATTATATCTATCTAGAATATGTACATCACTATAAACAAAATAGACCTTGAATCCAGCAACAGCTCCTTCTGTTGGTCAACAGCGTGGTTGCAGCTATTAAGCAGAATTCCAATATTAAAGCAGAGCTGCTGTTTATGCAGATGGTGTGACATCAAATCACTCATTAATGCACTAATTGTATCAGTGTCTAAGTATGACTACAGAAATCTTGGCAGTTGTTGCACTGGAATTCACGTAACAGAAAAAGACAATGAGAGGAGAAAAACTCACCTTGCAGCATCTGTCCAGAAGAGCTGCCAGCTTCAGGCTTCGTTTAATTTGCGAGTTTGGACAACTGCCTGAGCAGGTTCAGGCAGAATACACACCTCTCACGTACTCCTCAGGGCCTCGGCTCTAACTGGTTTTTCATTCCGAGTGAAGCTCTCCTCTCAACATGTCATGCAACAACTGGAGAGCAGCGTGGGTGTCTCTCAGAACGGCAACTAGAAGACGGCCTACTGATTATCTGCCGGTTCACTGAAGAGGATACTGTCTGAAACATAATTTAAAACAGACTTCCTACATTTCATCAATGAGGGATTAGGCCCAAAATTACCTACATATATTTTTTGTAATATTTAAGAATGTTGGACACACTTACTAAATAAGAGACAAGATACGGTTGACAGAAACATGTATTTTCACAACAGATGTTTACTTTGGGGAAGTTATTTAGTATAGTTTAATAAATGTATTTTGTATAAAAACACTAATCTCATACAAGGAGAAGAGATGACCATGATCTGCAGTCCTTGCAGGAACACACAACCACCAATGTAACTAATGCAAATTGTACACATACAAGTTCAAAAGTTCACATACTTTAATTAATAAATATGATAATAACACAGCTAGAAATGCTAAAAATAAAAAAGGCAGTGTTCAGAAATTAATACATTTTACAAAATGATGGAACCAAAAAAAAATAATCCTGCAGGAGCTCAGATCATCTGAGATCCACAGAGAAATATGAATATTTTTGTAAAAACGTCACATTGTACATATACTGTATCAAAACATTCCTATTCCAAAAATCGACACCTCTGTATATGTTACTCTAACAACGTCAGGAATGTAAAAGTCCCTGAAAATATTTTTTCTCTCAAAGAAGCCTTGCCGTTATGATTTAGTACCCGTTTTTGTTCAAATAAAAGTACTTCCCTTATTCTTTTTAACGTTATTTTGCGAGAATAACAATGTTTGCATATCACAGTCACATCTGACACAAGACATTTTTGACCTATCATTATTTTAAACATACAGCACAACAAAGCCCGAACAACATTGACGTCTTATAATGATGCCAATAGCCGTCATCATTGTGTGATTCACAGAAATACTGACTTATCCACTGAAAAAAAACAAAAAAAAAAACAAGACTCTCCTGTGCCATGCAGACAGTGCCAGGTTACAGGATCATATCAGACCAATTTTTGTTTCTCACTCCTGGAGGAAGTCCCACACCCTTAAAAGGCAACAACCAGGAGCAGGTATTGTCACTTTAGACTTAGAGGAACTGTCATTCGTTATTGTCGCCTATCGCAGGAAGATGTGGGCGTGTTGTTGCGTACTGGTTTATGTGTGAGTAGGAACTGGGCATCCTACTGTTACTCGCAGGCGATTTTGCCATCAAAGCTGGAGAGTGCGATAGCAAAGGCCTGCAAGGCACACATCGGGTAGTTGTAGTCCAGCGTGAAAATGTCATCAGCTATTCGACCAAACTGCATCACGATGTAGTCAACTGAAAGAGGCAGGAGGATTGTTCAAAGTTAGTTGGTAAATATTTAATTATGAATGTTAATTATTTTTATTTAAAACATCATCGCATCATTTCAGGATTTCAGGAATGTCAGCCTCATATTGAAGTAGACTCAGTAGGTTTCATCCTCTGGGGAAAATAAATAACATGGTAACCCTCCAACTGTTGTTAAGGGGATTCAGTCCAAAGTGGTGGACTGATATCCATAAAGCCATGAGATAATAATAACTAGCATACAGTAAAGGACATGATGTCATACGTTGTGTTATTTTAGTAGTTATGTCATAAGTAGATCACATTTAGGGTTTTTTGTGATCAGCTATTAAACTAATACAGGAGGCTTGGTGTTTTTAAATTGGCATACATACCTATGATGTAATAGAAAATAGTTTAACTTTGCTTTGTAATCTAAAACTTCATCTAAGAAATATCCAAACATTGTTCAAATAAGACATGTTAGTGAATCATTGAATGAGTCCCTAATAAACGTATTTTAATTGTTTGACGCCTGTCTCTATTATGAGATATCAAATTGTTTGAGAATTGCCATTCAAGTTATTCTTATAGATACATTTCATTATTCTCAGACAAAACTTAGGAGAAAGTACATCCAAATTAACCATCTTTGTCTTTTTACGAGGTTTTAAATGTTTTTTGTGACTTGACAGTAAACTGCTTTGTGTTTCTTTGACTAGTAACTTCATTGTAAAGGTCAGGAGTGTTTGTTTCATAAATATTTAGTTATATAGAAAAGGTAGCAGTAGATGTGAGTACTCACGGTCTTTGCTATGGACTATCTGGAAATTCTTGATGGAGGCCTGGGTGACCCTGCCGTTGAAGTTGAGCACATGGGACGAACTATCTTCATTCCACACAGGCGTCTTGTTTTGAAGTTCAATCAGATTTTCCATGCGCCTATTCTGGTGCCTTATCAACAAGCCGTCAAGATCCTGCAAGGAATTATCCAAACACAAATAAGGAAAAAAACGCAGACAAAGGGTAATCAAGTTTTACATGTTGGCCTTGTGTTGCTCTCATTATTTAATTATCATGAATACTGTGTGCAGTTTCGATACAGTGTGAAAACATTATGCATAGAAGCAGGGGATTCTGGGAGGGCTGACTTTGCTAATAGGCCATCAGATTATTTTACGCACATGATGTTTAACAACCAAGGTTAAAGATGCAAACTTGATAAATATAAAATTATACTGGTGGTCTATATGGTATTTTATTTTTTTGCAGTATTTTTTTTTAGTTTAAAAATAAAAGTTACACTTCTTGGTCGGAGAGGCACTCGGTCGTTGTTTTTGTCCATCCCTGGAATGACAACCGTCATTCTTCTGGGTCCTTTCATCCCTAAGACATTCGTTTCCTGGTGCCGGAAATAAAAACAGACAAAATTAAGATCAAATCAAATTTACTTTAACACATGAAATTCAATGTATGGAAAGCTCTCGAAAAGATATTATGGATTGATGCATACTGTTGATAGATACTTTTTTGTCCAAGAGTGACTTACATAAACGATGCCAGCCATCTCCTGCCGCGCATTAGACATGTCTGGAAGAGCTCTGTCTGGATTCAGAGCGTTGTCAAAGACAGTGAACTTAGTCCCCATTAGGTTAGACCTGGACAATATATATTACATAATTAATAACTCACAGTAAAATAAAAACTTGGATGATATATTGCTCCTTTTGAGGAAGGAATGATTATTGTACCTCAGCTTTCCAACAAAATTCTCTCCACCTCTCGATAAATCTGTGGAATCGATGGAGATGAGGTAATTTGAGGTTGCACATTTCTTCCTTTTCCTCCCAGCCAGCAGGAATGTCTATAAAGAACAAACAAATCAAATGTTATATATTAAGAAAGTGAGAACTCACTTCATAAAATTATACATAAGGATTACTCCTATATTTTGACTGTTACTCTGCTAGCAAAGTTAGATCCCAAAGACCTGAACGATAAGACTGTGATGAAGAGAAATCCCTGACCTTCTTCTCGTTGTCAAGGTGAAAGTAATACAGAGGGTAGAAGCCCTTGTCCATCCCTCTTTGGTCCCGAGTCACTCTGCATTTCACCGTCACGCCCTGCGGAGCCGGCTCTATCACAAACTTCTCCAAGTTGTCAAACTCAATCTCTGGTGAAGGAGCTCTGTCCTGATGAAGAAGCATTCAAATAAATGTAATCTGTCATTCTGAAATTTAAAATTATGCTATGTTGGCTTGTCTTATTTTATGAATGAGTGTAATTTGAGATTTAAGATACCTTTTTCTTCTTCCCTTTGCCCTTTTTCTTCTTTGATTTCTCTTCTTTTTCTGAGTCAGAATCATCACTCTGTTCTGCCTTTGCTGAAATGTATAACAACAAATATTACATTCTTGTTCTTTAGTTTATTCTTTAGTCACTCAAAGTACAATTAAGGTGCTGGTTAACTTGCCCTTTTTCTTTGTCTTCTTGTCTTTGTCTTTGTCTTTGTCTTTGTCTTTATCTTTGTCTTTATCTTTGTCTTTATCTTTATCTTTATCCTTGTCCTTGTCTAACGATGTTTGGAAGAGGGATGTTGCGCTGGCGCTGGATTTCTTCTTAGATTTGGTTGACTTTGTCTCCTCCTCACTCTCATCACTGTCGGATTTGGCAGCTGCTCAGAGGATTGATATAAAGATTATCAATGAATTTCATAATTTGTAAAAACTCTTACAGACAGATTCTTTTCTAAAATAGAGTCAACATCAGCATTAAGATGGAAGCTAAGATGCAGTTTGATGGATGGATAAAATGCAAAATGCAGTTGCAATAAAACTACCTTTCTTCTTGCTTTTTGAGTCTTTGTCTCCGTTTATCTGGAACATTGATGCTGGTTCTTTCTTCTTGTCCTTCTCCTTCTCCTTTGACTTGGATTTTTTTTCTTTTCCATCAGGATCTTTTTCCTCTGAGACATGACAATAATGTAACAATTTAGAAAATGTTATCCGTCCTTGAATGGAATACCAAACTGGAGAGTCATCTGAGCACACACTGAGAATGTAATCTTTTTTCTTTTATTGCCAGAGGCAAATCATGTAAATCACATTCCTTTGTGTACTAGACAGTGGGAAAACAAATGCAAACTACAATTCAACCAGCAAGCAAGGACTTTTGACTGGAACCTTTTGCATATATCTGCTTGGAATTCACATGTTTAGCATACTGTGCAGAACACAAGAAATCGAGGCAAGGGATGCCACATTTTTCACACAAAACAAGTAGCAAATATCTATTGTACTCAAAACCTTATATACATTCTGCATACTGTCGATACTCACAATACAAATGTGTGTTACACAATAACAAATCCACCCCAACATGAACTTATATATTTAGCTGTTGACAGAATAAAGAAATTAACTCCAGGGATCGAATTTAGGTAAGCGACTGAGTATTGTGCTAATTTTGGTTAGACACTGGTCAGAATTGTCTGGTTGGTGAAACTTTAGGAAGTCAAGGTGGGACATTTCTTTACCCTTTGTCATGTGAATACATATTGTGTAGATTTGAGACAATTTGTTTATATTTTATCCGTTATAAATACATAAGTTAGGAAGATGCAAGCATCAAATAACTCCAACTTACATTTTCAACCTGCAGTAACTGATTTAACAGCACACAACTCCAATAGTCCAATATTGACTCCTATTTTAGCTTTGTATTGGTCGCATACATCATATCTGGTCCTGGTAAATGCTGCATTATGTAGTTGCCTAAACAAAAGCTCTGATGTTATCAAATAAATTAAATACTACCAAAGGTTTGAATTATATCAAGAAAACTAATTTCTAAAACTTAGGAAAAAGTAATGAATTGTTATTTTGTAATTGTTATTAAAATGTTGTTAACTGTTTGACAACATGTGAAATGTTGATTGAACTTAAACTCTATAATCAAGTTTGGATCAAGTTTTGTAAATGTGGAGGAAACAATCTTCTAAAACAATATTTTACTGTTTAACTTACTCACCTTAAATACATTGAGAAGTATCATAATTCTGAATTAGACAACAGAAAGAAATATGTTGCCATAGCTACCATAAAGTATTCTATTAATATAATGCACTCCATTCTCACTGTCCCAGTAAACAGAGCACCTGGCTGCCCTTTACTCTACAGGAGGAGCACAGAGCCACAAACACACGTTGGAGCAGGTTTCCCTGACATGACTGATGGCTGATCTGAGGTGGAGGAAGGTTAAGTTCAGCTCAGAGGCAAACTCTCTGGAGGTGATCCAAGCAAAGTAATCGAAAAGAGCAACAACACTCTGGGCTATATCTGACAGAGAGTCAGTGTTGAAGTGATAATCAAGAAACATCTCTACACAGATAATCGCTTGTTATAGCTCAAGTTAAGTGAATGCTTAAACCATGTCTAAAGTTGTGCCTCCCCACACTGTTAATGAAACAAACTGTCAACCCAAAAGAATACTTAGTGATATACAGTAAGTGCTAACAAAGGCAAAGAACCTGATGCAGTGAATGGATATTTTAGGACTAGACTGGTCATGCTAGCTGCTCTGTTAACCATCTCTGTACTTTAGGGTGTAAGCATGCTAACATTAGCTAATTAGCACCAAACACGAAGCACACAAAAGACTGATGGGGATTTTGCAGATGATTGGTCATAAAAATTGAAAGTTAAAGAATTGCCAGATTATTTACCATGATGTAAACATCGATATCTGTATCAAATTAAATGGCATTTAGTCAATAGTTAACATTTGACTCCAAACTATAAATATCAATCTAATGGGGGTGCAACAGGAAAGGTCAGGCTAAGTCATAATTATACTCTGGGGACCAAGGAAATCTGGACTAAATATCATTGCATGTTATCCAGTTGATATTTTAGTCAGGGCCAAAGTGATGGCCAATGTCTTAATTATTCCTCATTAATCAGTTGTTATACTATTTGTGAATGTGCTGGTTGGTTTGTAAAGACAAAATGTAGGCTTCTAACATCATGTTCTCCAGACTTCGTGCAAAGTAAAAGTGTTGCAACATGCCACAGAGAAGTCTGTCCACACATCATTTTTAACTTAATTTAAATTAGATCTAAAAGGGAAATTGTAAGGATTTTAATGTTGCAACAGTTTGAATGAACTTTAAAGGTTGATTTCTTGAGGGAAACCTCACTTGACTGCTGTGATTTAGCCTCTGCCACCAAGTGAGTCAGTGTGCACGCGCTTGTGATTACACAATCAAATCATTTAATCCTCTCAACAACATTAGTCTGGTCTCATAACAGTTGTTTAGGTCCCACTGTTAATTCCCTCATAAAACAGTTTTCCTGCCATACCTTTTGATTTAGATTTCTTTTCTTTGGCAGTGGTTGAAGACGGAGAACTGTCTTTTGTTGTCTTTTTCTTAGTCTTCTTTTTGGAGGTGTCTTCATCATCGTCATCATCGTCGTTATCGGTGCCTGAACCTGCAGACATGGAAAAAGTAGTGGATTATTATAATCATTTTCCAAAAGTACATTTGATTTATGAGTTTAATTGTATGGTATTTTTTTGAAGTTAAGTCTTTAAGGTTTTTAGACTCCCGGTTTTAACGTTGACGTACCTTTTTTCTTTTTTGGAGCACTTTTGGCTTTCTTTTTTGGCTCTTTCTCCTTTTCTTTTCCCTTTTCTGGTTCTTCTTGATCTTTTTCTGGTTTCTTTTTCTTCACCTTCTTTCCATCTATAATGTTGATAAAAAAAACAGCAGTGTGACCAATGTGGATGACCAATGTGGATGACCACAGTGTTCGGTTTTTCTGCTAGAAATGCTTAAAATATCTTAGTCTTTGAAAAAGTTCCTCACTTTGGATGGCAGGAATTTCCTCTTCGGATCCATCTTCATTTTTTTTTGTCTTTGTTTTTTTGGGCTTGGCTTCTTTTGCAATGAGCTTGGCTTCTGATGTGCTGTTGGTTTCCTCTTTCTTCTTTTTTGGCTTCTATTGATTTTCTTTAAAGATACAAAACTGATTAGTAGAGATTAGCTTGAGCAAATTGGAAGGACAGGAGAGAAGAGAAAACATGACTGAACACAATAATAGATGGGAGACAAAGAAATATAGGATAACTTACTAAAAATAGCACTTAAGGATCTTTATCATTTATAAAAACTCACCATTAAAAGTCAGATGTGAAAGGTAGTGAGGGGCAGAAAGAAAAAAGAACAATTAAGTTGTAACTACTTCTACAGCTGTTATTCATATTGTTCTAGTATATAATAAACATTATTTATGCTCATTGGTTTGCATACCATGTCTAAGTAAGTCATGCTGGCAGTCTTAAAAGTGAGTCATACTGTTTCAAATGAAACAAATATTAGTGCAATGAATTATGTTTAATTTCTTGTAAAGCTGTATTTTAAGTTAGTGAAAGAGAATGTAATGATTACTATTATTTATAAATACAGACCTGTTACACAAAAAGGTTACAAAACAAGTGTATGCAACTCGCTCAAGCGTCTTCCGGAGTACTGAGAAACACTAAATACATCACAATCACTCTTTACATCACACAAGATGGCAAGTCAATTAATTTAAAGAATCCCTGAATACATTTCATGGAATTACCTTTTTCTCTTCTGATTTTCTTTATATAAAATACACTGGATTTGGTAATTAATGCTTAATGAAATCAATCTTTGCAGTTCTTCCTTCATCACCTGCATTATATGCTGTCATCTTCTAGACACAAGCTTAAGGTATACAGTAGCACGACCATCAGTCCCATTCACACGCCTTTGTCTATGTATTACTGTGTATATCATACAATAGTAAAATATATCCCTGTTTCAATGAATAGAAAGGGAACCATGATGTGTTTTTAACAAGCATTTCACACGTGTGATGACTAAACCATTGATAGGCACAGCGTGTCCAGCCCAAGTCACAGAGAAGGAGGTCAGTGGGATTGCCGAGACAATAAAGTTAATCCTATTAGAGGCAGATCCTTCATTGATGGAAGTCTATTTTAGTTCCTTGACAATCTACAACTCACAATTATGGTAGCAGATTTGACATTTGTAATATTGTGATTCATTGTTATGAAAAGTGATTAAATGACATATTACACTCCACCCATTTCAGAAAATAATATGTTTCTATTGAACTGTCGCCATTTTATTTTTAATTACAGTCCTTTACACAAAACTTTAAAATATAAATAGATGTTTCATGTCTGTACTTAACACAATCGCACTGAGGCGGCAAAGTATATCCGAACACTCTGAAATTATTCTGATGAAACACATGTTTTTAATGAATGTGTCTAAAACGGTACTGTACTAATGTGAGGCATCGTTATGTAGCTCTGAAGGAGCCAACACACATGATTATTGCAATTCCCTGAGAGGATTTAGAACAGATTAGTATGAAATTATGATCCAATAATCACCCTTAGTGTTGACCTAGTTTTGGCATTTGATGATAATTAGATTACTTGTTGACACATATGGTAATGCTCAAAGTAAATAGAGTAGGAATTAAAGAAGAAAATGGCATAATGAAAGTACTGCCGTTGCATATGGTTTGGACGTCGCCACAGTAAGCGGTGAGCTGGATTACTGACAGCCTTCAATCCCTTGTGCGTGCTTTTGCAGATGCACTGCTCGGCTGATGAGTGTCACACAAACGTGTACATTTTTATTCCAAAATGCAACTTAATGTCAGATATGAATGCAATCCATGCTGTAGTGCCTATAGATGCTTTCCAGTTTTGAATTCCCTTCTGAATTCTGCCTTGCCTTACTCCTCTACTGTCATTTGTATATAGAGCAGTTACCTCACATGTGGGTCAGAGATAAACTAAAGTAAACACAAGGGGAAAAAAGATTGAAAGATATCCCATGGATGCAGTGGGTCACAACTTTGCATACACAGTCCAACTGTAAATATTGTTGCATGACAACAGCAACAACATTATTTAACTCTTATTAAATTGACTTCCATCCCTTAGGCCTCTCTCCAGTTACCACATCATATTTTAAAGTAAATAAAAAAAGATCTGCCAAACCACAACCCCACCCTTTACCTTCTCTGCAGACATGGTGTGGCCTCTGCCTTCAGCTCTACCACTGCTTCTTGTTAGAGGTTAGAAAATAAAAAAGCAGGCCTCTCAGCGGAGATAATGAAAGAGTGAGAAAGCCCTGTACTCAGACTCCATCAGCAGAAAGTTGTTAATAGGATTTATGTGTAAAGCCATCTGCTCTGTAGGAACACGTCAACGGGAGAAACCAACAAAGGCTCAGGAGGAGGGAGAAGACTTGTTTATCACGTGTGTCCACTATCCACTATCCACAGACCAAACACTTATGTTGTGTCCGGGGTACTCATGCAAGTCTCAGCAAAGATGTCATAAGGGGATGTTCCTTTTGTCTTTCCTTCACACCTACTGTTCTGTAGGTCAGACACTAGCAGTATCTCGAAATAAAGTCTTAGAGGTTTTATAGTTTACATTTTCAGTATTTATAAGTTGAAAAAGTGTTGTATGAAAAAGTTAAAATCTATATAAAATTAAAATTAAATAATTACCTGAACTAGGGCTGAAACATAATCCTCATCCTCTTGACTCCTGGGGCAAAAAGAGTAATAAACAGATTTTAATTGATAGTAATGAAACAATATGTAAGTTGCTATAATGTAACTGCATGATTTATTACAATATTGTCATTTTAGTGTCCACTAAATACATAATGTTCCCAAAGCAAGGCTTTTAGTTTTCTATACAGTATGAACCTTTGCATGTGTGATCTGGAATAGGGCCGTACATTTAAAAAAAAAAAAATCAATTAACCTTTTTAAAAAAAATCATTTTCTTGTCTTCATTCAAGAATTGTTCGTTTGGACATAAAATATAACAGTAAAGCTGTCATTTTTATATTGCTCGTTTTATTATACTGCCAGCCGAAACCAAATATTATTTACTATAATAACACTTTGAAAACAAAATACACGTGGAATGATTACTTTATTATGAATACCTATTGCTGTATATTCCATACTATTTGTACAGTTTTTTTAAAAACATTTATCTTTGGCTTTCTATTTGCCATACATTTTTTTTTTAAAACACATCATCTAACCATATAAGAATGTATAATCAAAAATAATTAAATATAGCGTCCATTTTTTACCCACAAAGAAAGTATTATAGCCCAATGAACTATGTGATATAAATAAAATGTAATTCTGACAGTATCAGGTCACACTGATGTGCTAAGCAGGCCTTAGTAGGTCTACCTGACAGCAACACATAAAGATTTCCCATAATACTTACTGGTTTAGCGCCTCTTGGCTAGTGCCAGCGGAAAGAGGGCGTGAGAAAGCAGTGATTAACACTCAGTTAAACACAAGGTCTCAAATAGGTTAGTAATGGTAGGGACGAGGAGGATAATTTATCCAACATTTAGACGGCCTCATATAAAATGCTTGGACAACATATACATTTGCAAAGTTTGTTTCTTGGTTATGCTGACATACCTATCCCGTGTCCAGGCCTCTTTCACAATGTGATTGTGGAGAGGCATGGCTGATGTGTTAAGATGTTACAGCACATCCAGCCTTTGGTCTTAATAGGAAACATTAGAAAGAGAGTGTACTGACAGAAAATATCCAATGCAATGTATAGGAACATTTATATTATGAATTAACACAAGCTCTCACCAAGGATGATGTGTTTTTTCTAGGCTGCAGTGTGATTGTCTCCATCCAGCTTGTGAATGGCGACAAGGCTCCATACACATCCTGTAGCCCACAGAGGGGTCACGTGACCCGGCTTCTAAGAGGATTTTTAACAAAGCAACAGGTTTCCCAATCAACAACGCACCACCACCAGCATGCCTGACCCTTCTAGTGGGATTACTCTAATCAGCTGCTCACCATCTGTGAGCATTTCTAAGGAGGTTCCCAAGAAACAGAAATATGGCTTGAGTGTAATTTCACTCAAGGGGAAAGGAAAACTGATTAAACAAAACAAAAAGCAACTTAAATTATCTTTTTACTTAACCGGAGATAACAATGCACATCCATCAAGAGTTTGGAAATGAGAGGGCTCTTAATGGCAAGAAAGTCTATGGTTTGGATTTCAGATAAATACAATTAATTAACAAAAAGTTATTTTCAGTTTAACAATGTCTATTTGCTCCAAATTAACTGCTGAGTGGCAGTTTATTTCACTAAGGGTACGACTGTGTAAGAGTGATGAAGGACGATGTTTAAATATACTGTATGGTATGTGATTAAAAGGAAGTGTCAGCACAGTAGATTACAAGAAAGGTGTGCTTTCTTCAGTCAACCACCAGATGTTGCTGTACCCCAAGAGACAAAAAACACTGCAGGAAGCAGCTGTGAGGCACCAGGGGGCACATGGAGCTGCTGTTACTCATATTAAAAAAATGATAGACTAAACGCACATGGTAGTATTAAAGAAGTTAAGAAAACCTCATTATCTGTGGTGAGGTGGTTTTCTACAACTTCAAACCCTTCCTCAGTCCTGTCTGTTTGCAGTCTGTGAGCTCACAAAGGGAGATGGTAAGAGAGTATTCACAGCTTAAGTGAACAATAACACATGTGATAGGAAATAAAGCAGGGAAAGTAATGTATTTTGTAGTTTTATAAGGCCAGGTCCTTTGTCTCTCCACATCACTGTGCTGCTCACGCTGTCCAGTCTGCTGACTGGTGAAAAGGGGTCTAGACTAATGGCTTTGCTGGCATTTCTGCAAACGCTTGACAGTAACATGGCAGTTGGCAGGCAGCCTGAGGAAGGCCAGCGACCTCAAGGGAGCAGCGGTGGAGCCATCAAGATCTTAAAGGGACAGAGACTTCAGTGCCTTTCTCACCATATATTGTGTTCCCAATCAATTTTTATGTCAGTTTTATTTTATTACTGTGAGCAACATTGTAAACATTGTTGAAGCAGCGGGAGTATAGCAGAGAGGCTGTAAAAGCAGCTCTTACTATACCAACAACTGTAACAACAAGCCTGACTGAAATGAAAACACATCAATCAGAGTTATGGTGAAACAGGGACCGTTCAGAGCAGTTGTACAAACACTAAGCCAGGAAGAATTATGGTAAATACATAAAGGTAGAGCTTCCAGTGGCAGGGACCAGTGTTTTATGAGGGGGTATGATGATGATATTTTAGTTCACAAATGGGTTGAGTGCTGAAACAGAACGTCGTTGAGGACGTGAACTCGGTGGCACTGTAGAGCCGGTGAATCATCAACTCAGAAGGGCCCGTATCTCAGGAAGGACAAACAATGAAGACAAAACAGGAAAACCTGGGTTTAATGGGTCTATCCCCAACAGAGGCATTGTTTGAGGAAGGTAAAGGGGTTCAAGAGAAGACAATGGGTCATGAAAGGAAAGATGCTAGTCCGGTGCAAAAATAGTCTCTTGGGTTGTATATACATTTAAACTCAATCTTATGCTGATGATTCACCAAGGACACATCCTTAAATGGAGAGAATAGGTTATTATTCTTACTGTTTTTAATCCATGTGAGGCAAAGTACAAATGTTGGCCTATGATTCGCACTATTGAGGGAATGTGGATATCCAATTAAAAGTGTCAGGCTCAGCTCTACATTGTCAGACTTTGCTATACTTTAAATAGCTGCTGGGGTATTTCTTCCAATATAGCTAAGATAATGTTAACACTGTAAACAATTCTTCAGTTTTCAAATATGCAAGTAAAGTTACAAGATCCATTTGTCATCTTTGGACACGATCCAAAAAGTGTATTGCTCTTCTGAGGATTATGCTAGGCCGGGTGTTTCTGTCCAATAAGATGTTTTTTCCTAGACCAAAGTGTTGGACAATCAGACCTAAATAAAAGCATTTCTGTCCCTGACATGGAACAAAAATAGAGAAGAAATTGGTTTTCTAAACGTTGGCTCAAGTATTTTGGGATATCAAGAGGCGCTTTCACACCGTACTTTTTTTTTTCCCCGTACTTTTCCCGTTTAGTTCCGATAGTTCCTGGGATTTTGCATTCACACCAAAAAGATAACTTGTTCATGAGAACTTGTACCCCCTTTGTAGTGCCTGCTAGAGAGGTGGTACTTTCCTGGGGAGAAAAAAGTTCTAATTTCTGATTGGCTGGGCGAATTGCAAACCACTCCCCGTAAAACTCGGAAAAGTTTTTTGAAGCCGCCATTGTATTTGCTGGCATTAGCATTATTAGCATTGGAGCGGTGGAGTGATGAGGAGGTGTCGGCGTTCTGGCTGGGAGTCCCAGCAGCTTTTACTGAAGCCAGTCCCCAACTCCGGGGACTTCCGGCCGGGGACTTCGGGTGGCAGTATACGCCGTGAAGTTGTTTGCGGCCTGCCAGTAAACCCAAAGCAGAAGAAGAAGTGACGTCAGCGACTTCATTTGCGTTATCTTCCCTCAGGGAACTTATTCCGGTGTGAACGCGATCGGCTCTTAGTTCCATGGGGGTACTAAGTGCTGGGAACTAGGTGCTGGGAACTAAGTATGGCAAAGTACTTGGTGTGAAAGCGGCTAATAGTACCATATGAAGTCATTAATAATCACAACATATTGCTTTAACGCTTTCACTTGTACTATGAGTATGTAATCCTCTGCTGCTGTCTCAGAAGCCAGGGCTTCTCAAACTCCGGACCAAGGTCCGGATCCGGACCGAACTGCAAATCAATCCGGACCGAACCCTGTGTCCCATTATAAAAAATAAAAATTCTACAAAATAAAATAATTCTGATTCTGATGTAAATTAATGTATATTTTCTTGTGTCTGACGCGTTGTGAGAATGAACGTGCATATATATTTACATTGCAGACTGCAAGTTAACCGCAAGTGTACCTTGACTTTCTAATGCTTCTAATGCCTTTTTTGCCGAGGTTCAAGGCATTGGCTACAGAAAAACAGTGCCATTTCTCCCACTAGTTCAAGCCATCATACTGTATGTATCAGTGACGTGCGGTGAGGTTCATGGCTGGTGAGGCACTGACTCTTTCAGAGTCAGATTTACAAATATTATAGCCTATTTTGACCTTAATCGAAATATTCTGTTATTTTCAAAAGCT